TCAAGGAGTAGACATATCTGGTGAACCAAAGAGTTAGACTAAGTAGAAGGAGCAATCCTAAAATTTTTTTGTGTCGAAAATTTCAGTCTGTAGTGAACTTGACATATGTTAACTGTTTGATACTTCTGTCATTAGATTCGTTCTTTAGTGTTATTTTTTGAAAGTGCGAGTGTTTATAGATGATTATGGAGTTTAGGATATGATTCTTCTTGCATAATTTGCAAAGAGCAGCACAAGCCTGATGATGAATGTATATCCTTTCACCGGTATGTTTTTGAGGTGAGCCAAAACTACGGACTGAAACTACACAACTTTGGCAACGAAAAAAGTAATGTAAACATACAGTCTAGTCTAATCTATTCGAATTCGTTGGGTAAATCTAGCACTATTCGATGGCTATAATAATAACAGCTATAATTTAGGTTGAATTTCGTCAATGCAATGTGTCATGAATACTGAATAACTGTTTCAATCCAAGGACTGAAGCTAATAGTGTCCACTAACGAGTCTTAGTACTGACTAGGATCCGACCGAAGGTCTGGTTTTTGAAGAAAGCGGAAGATAAGGTTCGTCTTTTAACACAACCCTAGGCCGAAACCGAACATTCAGTTAATCAGTAATATCGGTTGGGTTATAAGGGTAGAGTGGTAGAAGAATGATCTTGGGTTCTGTTTTTTGTAAGTTATAACTACACTTTTAATGTATCTTTTTGATAATACAAAAAACTTAATGATAATTTGATGAGTAGAAAAATAAAATTGATGTAAAACTTCAAGTAATAATAGTCATCTTGGAAGTGGGAAAAGACTGGAAGTCAGTTAAATTAGAGAAACGTTTTACAATACCATATGCATATATCGAAAAAAGAAATTTGAAAAAATTGTCGGTGTTTTCGGAAATATTCCGATTATTCCTGAAATCTTTATTCTTTTCTGGTGCACGTGCTGTACCGGTAATAATACTTATTGGATTTGTTGAAGAAGGCACAAAATAAAAAGATTCGGTCTGAAATAGGAATACAAAGGCAACTACACATTCACATACTTATAAAATACCCGATTCCCTGAACGTGTACAAAAGTATAACGTCCAATAAAGTTAATTTTTAAAACAAACGCCATTTGAAATATTTTATTTTTTGGCAATGGAATAAGTTGAGTAGACAAAGTTGATTTCAACGATAGCTATGAAGAGAATTTTTGATGGAATATAACAGGTTTTCAAAGCCATAAAATAGTAGCATACCAACCATATGTCAAATGGCCCTTTTATCTTCGGATGTTTTATCTGTAGGGCTAGTTGTATCCACTGTAATGTTATTTTTGAAATAAACGTTTCTTTTCGGTTTGAAGTTTCTTTATCTATATAATAATGAATAGGCCGACAAAACCAGTGGCGTGAAGAGGGAAGGTTTAAGGAATGAAGCCTTTTTCCTACTGTTATAATGAGGAGCCATATGGCTTTATTTATATGCCATACAGGATTTTACCTCAAATATTCAAACCTAAATATCTCCAAAATGAGTGATCAGGCCAAGATTCCTTCACAGACAAAATTTATGAAAACTTAAATTTTATTTTATAGCATGCACTGTTCTCAAAAAGGCCAGTGGCGTAGAAATATTTCCTACTAGGGGTCCAGTACCCCAGTTTCTATCCCTGGTTTAGTTCGAGCTGGGAAAATCTGAGTGTTTATTGATCGTCTAAAATATTAACTCAGAATCTTTATCGGTTTCTTAGATATATTTTTTTTCGTTTTCGTAAATAAAATTTCATCTCCCTGTATTTCGGTATGGGAGCATCATAGTACCCATACTTAAAGGAAACATTTATTGTTATTATTGGACGTACTTATCCGCCTCAAAAACTTTGTCGTTACGTATGAGTGCCCTTCAATCATATTTGTCAGAGTGACAACTTACATGACATCGGCGTGCAAAAAAAACTAAGTAATGTTAAAAAGTAGACTGCTAAATTAGTATTCACTGTAAATACCTCAAAATATCGGAGAAAAGCCAAAAACATTTAAAACCAGAGGTGTTCAAGTTAAGAGCAGGAAGAGGTACGTCCGTGGACCTGTTGGCGATAGTTTCCAGAGCCGTGGGAGTAATCTTCAGCCATTTTACCATATATTCCATTTTGTCATTTGGACATTTCGTCAATAGTGTCAAATCAAATTAAGAAACTAGTCTACAGAGTGTATAGGGTAATCCGGAAATAGCCGCTGGAATAAGGGAACATGAGTCAGACTGTACGAAAGAAGAATAAAAACATGAAAGATCCTGAAGATGGGGATAATGTAGAAAAATACAGTGATAACAACGAAGAACTGTCGGACGGAAAAGAACGATGGTCTTGCCCAGCCTGTTGTAAACAGGGACGAGTTACCCGAAGCGGATCCACCTCTTCCACATGCGGTGCTCGTTCAGAAACCACTGCTCCTTTACAACCAGATCAGTCTACCCCTACCGACACTCTCACCCTTATACTTAACCAATTATCAACTATGGCCAGTGACATAAAGGATATTAAGAACTCTCAATCTCAACTCAGAACTGATGTTGCTTATTGTAGAAACTTGTTACAGCAACGTTCGGACTCGATCTCTCGGCATGAAGACTTAATAGCGGCCTGCGAAACCAACATACAAAATATCCAGGTTACTCAAACAGAGCTGACTTCTAACATTGCTAATATTGAATCGAGACTTGCAAGATCTATGGAGACGATGCACTCAGGCAACGGCGCTTCTTCTACCCCTATTGCCCCAAGCTCCCAAGCTGAGACAATGGAGTTATTTAGACGTTCCCACAATATCATTCTGAGGGGCATAGCTGAAGGGAACGATGACATAAACATAGTATCAGAGATAATTAGGCATATTGAACCATCTGCCGAAAATCACCGACTCAGCATCACTCGCCTTGGCAGAACAACTTCAAGCAATCGTTTAATTAGAGTTGTGTTTTCCTCGCGTCGGCTTTCTCGGTATCTCACTCTTTCAGTCCTTTCGATGGCATTGACAATCTATTTTTGGAATTGAGGTGCCCAAATTTCAGCTTCACGATAGGCTGCATATATCGGCCATGGCCCAGTTTGGGAGACACACACCTGTGCAATCTCATTTCAGATCTCTTAAATAAAAACACCAACCTTTTCATAGCTGGTGACTTCAATCTACGTGACATTAGCTGGCCTGTCAACCATTCCTGAATGCAATTCTTCTTCTGCTGCTTACATCGACTTGCTACGCAACTCTAGCATATCTCAACTTGTTGATCGTCCAACGAGATTCAGGGAAGGACAGACGCCTTGGGCTCTGGATTTGATATTCGTTAACGACGGTGACTTTGTTTCTAATTTAGATTATTTGCCACCTTTTGGCAAGTCTGACCACTGTTCACTTTTATCTTCTCTCCAGTTCAATATAAATAGTCGTTCTACAACCGATAAGTTTAAAACCATCAAAATTGTAAACCACGATGCTCTTAACCAAGCCCTGTCTGAAGTCAACTGGCCTGCTTTGCTTAACAACCGTAGCACCCAAGATATGTGGGACACTTTCGCTCAACGACTCCTAAGCGAAACGGCTGACAATACTGTTGAAAAGAAGGTATACTGTGACCCTCAAAGCCCTGGATCAACTCTAACATATCGAGGATGCTTCGTCACAAGAGATCTTTGTGGCAACGGTTTAGGAGGAGTGGCCATTCAGCAATCTACGCGGACACAGCTTCAAACTGCATAAGGAGCCATTTAAAATAACAGTCCGACAGTGGTTTCTTCCCAACCCCATATTCAACACCTGGAATAGTTTACCTGAAAGTGTGGTTGGTGCTACTTCAGTTAATAGCTTCAAAGTGCAGTACGATAGCTGGAGGAGTGTACAAACTTTATAGCTATGAACTGTCTTTTTTTATTTTTTTCTATTTGATGTATTTGTGTTACGTGTCCGTACACTATATTTACTGCATGAGCTTATAGTACTGTGTACTCTGCTCATCTCAATTATCATAATAATAATAATAATAATAATTTGGGTTATCCTGTTATCAATCTTCAATAAATAATTGTACAATGCTCGTAAATACGATCTATAGGCCGACAGCTCATGCTAAATTTATTAGTAGTTTTTCCAGGAAGAGAATAAAAACAGTGGTCCCCTGTTACCCACTTACTGAAGAGAGTAGCAGATGCGCTGAAGATTAGTCTGTGCAGCGTCCATATTGATGGTACGGAGACTCGATCTGTTTACTTATTTCATATGGCTTTGATGACGTGATCGCCAAGAACGGTGACTACAACTATGTCACAACACGCAAATCAAAGAATGTCGCTGTAAATCAACTCGCCTCTGTAACAGATGCCCTGAATCGTAAGTGTAGAACAATCTGTAGCTGAATTTAGTTATCCACTGGCTAGAGTCCTCAATCATCGATGAGGAACGTAATATGTCACCTATCTTGAATTAGAGGAATGTTGCTAATGCTAATGAATAATAGGGTGATATAATTATGAATGTACCTGCTCTCAGCTTACCTACTGAAGAATTTACGCTATTCTTGGCTAACGCTTCGTACGCCTGAACCTCTGCGACCGCATGACACTATCATGGTTTTTTGAGTTGCAAGCTAGTAGGTGGAAATTATGTCACATTCTTTATTTAATGATATGTTCGTTCAATAAGATGAAATGGTAGAAATGTGACTAAACATTGCTATCAGCTGCTTGTGTCTACGATTGCAAGCATTGACCGTTAAATCTTTTTCCTTAATCGACTTCTGGGAATCTCTTTTTGGCAAAACAAACAGAAAGCTGGCACTGCCTTCGCAATCCCTAGAGTAATAACAACCCATAAACATCATGTCAGCCATGGATTAACGTAATGTGAATGAATCAATTAACAGATGGAGACGTACTTCAACGTTGTCGCCACACCTTCAGGCACTCATCAGCATTACGAGTACAAATGCTGTCACTCAGTCTATATATCTTTTTCCAGATGCTAGCGGGTGCTGCCTTGCTGATTAGCTTACTAAGCACCATCTTGTGCTCAGTTTCGGTAGCTGCAATCTCCTCCGATGACGGCTCGTACGAGTTATCGGAAACGCATGATATTGTCTTGAATATTGACCAGAGCGATAGTCGGAATTACCATTTCTTGAGCAATAAGATTTTTGGAAAACTAGGCGGCGCTGCGCGCACCCTCTCAATTAATAGTTTTTAGTGCAACAAAAATATCGACTCGTTAGTATTATTCCAAAATTCAGCTACTTCACAGATATTCTAGATAAGAAATATCTATATAATCTTTATTATGCTCTTGTTTATCCTTACTTTACGGAATTTTGGCTTGGGGGGGGGGTTATGAATAATAATTAGAAAAAGGTTGATGTAATCCAAAAATTAATTCTAAAATTGATCCATGGGGAGATTACTTGTTACAAGTGATTTTCTATATGTGGAGGCTCAGCTTTTAGATTGCAGACAAATTTACTTTTATTGTGGTCTAATACATTATTTCAAATATTCGAAATATTTGAATCGTACCATTCATAACTACCCAACAAGATTCAATCAAAATTCAATGTGTATTCCACAAACATCAAAAACCATTACACAACGATCTCTGTTTTTCTTGGGACCAAAATTTTATAACTTCATACCAGAGTCATTAAAAGTAATTAAATCAAATAAATCATTTAAAAGAGAACTAAATAAATGGATTTTACAACAACCAAGGTACTCCATCCACGAAATTGTAGATCTGAAAAATCGTTACCAAAATCAATAACATTTTACTCACATTAACATCCATACTTTTACTTTAGTTATAATTGTCTAGATATTTTTCCTGACATTACCATAATAATTCACCAAATTATACAGTATTAACGTTTTTTTCTCATACACTGACTGTACTATTAGTTTTTATTTTTAACAAACCCAAACACAAGTGCAAACTTTTTTTGGGTGCTTTATGTTTATTGTGCTCAATATTTTGATATTTACCTGTATTTTGTGACAATAAACATTATTATTATTATTATTATTATTATTATTATTATTATTATTATTATTATTATTATTATTATGCCGCCTACTAAGTTTGTACAGTGATATCAAAACACGAACAGCAGAGAAAGAAAAGTTTTATGACTACTATAGTGAACTATGGTAATTTAACAGTACTGACTACTGACAATCATGACAGGTTACTTATTTTTTTATTCTGATTAACCCCAAAATATCAAAGCCTTGTGAAAGTTTTCATGGAAAATCTTTGGTAATATGTATGTTATGATTACTTCTAACCGGTCACAAGTGACCACAAAACCAGCATAACTTGGAAAGCTGTTCACTTTATTATTTCTTATTCTAATTTTTATCTGTGATCTAAAATTCATATTTCTATACTATTTTAATCAATATACTTTGATAACATGAAATTATCTGAAATAAGATTTTGCAGCTTTACGGATTCCATCACTGTAATAAGAAAAAATAACCTTGCGGAATAAGCCCTCCCCTATTCTCGTTAACAACGGAGCTTTCTTATTTCTGTAACCGAAAACGAAGGATTGTCTTGCGACTGAGCGAAATCAAAATAACAAAAATAACAACGAATCAGCAAAACAACAGCATTAAAAACTTTCTAGTAATGTACGAGCCCCTTCCGACTTCAGTTGGCCCACTTCAAGATTTGTACGAAAATATGCCTTTATAAACTAAACATGACGAAACTATATACTTCTAAAACAATATATTTCCTCAAAAACATGTTAGATACACTCTTGTCGTAAAAAATACATATTTGAAATCACTTAGACCTATAACTAATAGAACATCTGAACAAATAAACAATGTGCGAATAAATGCGCGAAGTTAACAAAGCAACAATTGAAAGATTACCATTGCGTAACATCACCTTTATTTTTTATTATGGCAGAACTTCTTTGAGGCATAGTGTTAACCAATTTTTTACAAAAATTTGGTGTAAAACAATTCCATATTTCTTGAAGCTTTTGTCTCAGTTCGGTGATTGTACGAGCAGGATGTTGTCGTAGAACCTTTTTCACCTCGTGCCACAAAGTTTCAATAGGTGACAGATCTGGACTGCTAAAAACCCATTTCAAAAGTGGTACATTATTTTCTTCCATCCATTTTATAGCCTTTATTGAGGTATGGCACGCTGCACCATCTTGCTGAAACACATAATCTTGGCCTAATGTCAAACATTCTTCCATCACTGGTAAAAGCGATTCTTCTAAAATTGCCAAATATTTGTTTGTATCCACATCTCCAACAATAAAATGAAGTTTTCCTACTACTTTTGATGACAGACTGCCCCAGACCATAATGGATGCTGGAAATTTCACTTTTCTCTTCAGACAGTCAACATGGAATGCTTCATTTTTTTTGCGAATAACTCTACTGCGACTGTCACCAACACAAACTTCGAATCGGGCCTCATCATTCCATTGTATTGCACACCATTGTTGAGGTGTCCATTGTCTATGTTCTTTAGCCCATCTAAGCCGATTTTTCTTCTGCAGTGGAGTTAATAGTAGCTTTTCTTTGGCCGATAAATAAGTTGTGCAACTTTAGGGTTTATACTTCACTTTTTTTATAAGAAAACTTACCGTGCAAGTGCTAAATCCCAGTTTGTGGGCCTCTCTATGAGTTGTGGACCTCGAAATTCTCCTTCCACCAGCGTCACTCCACAGAGCACTTAATTGTAAATACTTGGCACGCCTGTTTTTCACGATTATTCTTCTTAATGCTCTTCGGTCGGCATTTGTGATATTACTTTTTTTCACATATCGTGGCTTAATATTAGCTGAACCTGTTACGTTATATCTTCTAACAATATTTCTCACACTGTACCGCGATAAGTCTAACAAAGTTGCAATTTCTGAGTATGATTTCCCAGAATTAAAAAGGTTAATTATCAGTAACCGAATTTTCTCACTAATAACCTTTCTTTTACCCATTTTGAAAACCTTAACTACCCAAAACTATTTTAAACGTATTCGGGCAACTGTGATTAATAAAAATAATTGTCATGGTTTTATTTTTCACAGCCACCTATGCGTTATAGACTTATTTTGCATTGAAATGAAAATAGGTTGATATGCTGTAATTGCAACATGTGTTATTTTTATGCTGCAAATTTGATTAGGGAGTGATAAAGTTGGTGTTTTCAACTATATATTATCAAAATATTCATTGTTAATATTTTAAACCTATAACACCCTGCTACATTCTTATTATTTGTGTTTGATAAGAAAAAAATTAAGATTTCAATAGTTGGGCCAACTGAAGTGGGATGGGGCTCGTATTACGCCTTAACCAAAATTATGAAAATATCCTATTATTATTATTAGTGGAATGCTCCATAACAAATTGTTGGTCTCAAATTCAAGACGCCACGTGGTGACCATAGAAAGCAGCTAAGTAATTTATACCATCAGGGGGACTAGATAGCATACATAGATTGACGGACCATGATTTCTGGTGCACCCCGTATAACAAGTATATTTCTGCAGCATGCCATGATTTTCATAATTCAATGACACACATACTCTCATAGATAACCCACCTAAAACAACAATAACTAAAATTAGAGCTTTACAAAAATTACCAATATTACCCTGGATTTATTCAAAATGATATTATCAGTAATTACCATGAAATGTTTTCTTGATATGTTAAGATTAAGTATCACCCTTTTACTTCCCACGCCACTGGCGAGCAAGTATTATAATCGAAAAGAATTTCAAAAATGAGATATGTTTTCTAGATGAAAATGAAAATTCTCATTTTGGACGTTTCAGAGGCTCCTGATAACTGTCAGAAAAAATTTAATACGGAATGTAAAATTACATACCAGTCAACCGGTGTGTTGTGATAACACTTCCGGGTGGGATTTCGTGTCCCCGAAGTCGCTTGGTGTTTAAGGGACAATAAGCGAGGGTGACGGGTACAAAAACAACAAATAACTTTATGTTCAGTGGCCGCTTTAGAGAGAATGGACGTCTTCTGAGAGCAGGAATGACTACTCCAGACGATCTTGGATGATATGGACTTTGCTGGGCCAGCGCGGTTCGATTTTAATGTTGTAAGGAGGGCTTTGCTCGATCTTTGCGTGATACATGACTGTTCGTGGTCGAGGTGGCCGAAACGTTAGTAAATCTTCAACTCTATAACTGTAGTTTTATTTGATGGCCAGTGGAATATGGAATCTCCGAACGGTACTTTCCAGATTATAGAGGATTAAGACAGACAGGCAGGCCAACAGACAGGCCGACAAACAGACCAACAAGCAGGCCGACAGACAAAAAGATCAACGGACACGAATGGCATTGTTTTTCGTGGTGTACATGACAAAACAAGGTTAGTCGGTAGATATGCGACCTCAGGGTGAGGTTTCTTTGTACCTTGGTTTTTGGATGCAAACAGATTGCGGTTTGGGCGCAACAAGGTTGGGTCTCTGGAGCTAAGGAGACACAAACTCATAAAGCATACAGACATTTATTGTACAAAAAAAATTAAACAGAAGTCCTGCAAGGCAGGCTAAGAAAATTATTTTACATTACTCTCCTAGCTAAATGGGTTCCGGTAAATATTAAAATAAAAAGAAATACCACCTATGCCGGTGCTTGGCTATGAGCGGTGGGCAATCGAGATCAGGAAGTCCCAGATGTAACCTGAAGGCAGAACCGGAAGGTAGAACCCTCGAACAATGAGGGCTCACAAAAATGGGAAACTGCTCCTCACAGGCGTGAGTCCCACTAAAATTCGCCTCGGTCCATCCCTACAGACGGTTTACCCCAGCTCGATGGCTGAGGGTAGTCATGCCAACGGCTAGATCTGCAAGAGGGTGAGGAAAAAGGCTCTGACAAAAAAAAAATACCAAGAGGGGCAGATTTCCAATAAAAAACTCCATCACCCTATAAATTCGCAGCTCAGCGTGTGAAACTATTTCACAAAATCGAGCAGTGGGCCGCAGAATTTCTACACCAGAGCACCGGAAATACCACAAAATTATTAGAACAGGAGAAGTATTTAATTACTAAAAATGAAATCCGATATTTTTAATAACGGCTACAAAAATATTATCCTAAATAAGAAAAACGTTGTAATAATTTACTTGATCAAGATGTAGTTAATTTTTAGTCGACCATAAAAAGTAAATGTAACACCTGGTACAATACTTCCTCGCCAATTTGTGTGGAAAGCTCGATAACGTGCGCATTATATAATATACTTGTATAACCTCATTCGATGGATGTAGTCTTCTACTACAATACTTGTTTTTCTAAGTTCGCTTAAATGCTTTGTGCTTCTGTTAGGTAACATGGTACGGCGACGAGAAAATATACTGTGTTCTGGTAACCAGTTGTAACGGGGAAACTCACTCTAAGGTTAAGCTATTGAGAGGAGGTGCTGGACATACATTCGTGGACCTGGAGGTACATTCTAGCCGAGGGTATGGATTCGCTTACAACGTTAGAATATTTGGAAAGGAGTAGTTCATTGGGTTAATGACCCATGTTTCAAACCGCATATGTTCAAGAAGATTCTTCTTTATTGTACGTCGTTCCGGTCCCAACGATAACTTTTCCAAGCACAACTGACTTAAGCTACTGGGATTAAAATATCGTAAAATAAAGAAGAACTTGAAATATATAGGTGGTTTTAAGTGTTTATAGTGAATAAAATAAAAGTGCATCATCAATTTACATAGTAAAATAAAAGAATCAAATAGAGAACTTCGTGTTATTTATCGGGAAAGTTGAATTCTTATTATGATTTGTTTCATCTTTTTTTTCAAACTCAAATGCCAGGATACCGCGGATACTGTGAGGATCCTAAAGAAACTTTGTTAAGCAAATATCTAAAAATGTAATAAAGGGTGTTCTATGTAAAGTAACGAAGTTGTGTTACGCCTAATCTTTTAAAAGGCTATTTTTATAACTGCTATCCTCCGCATACGCATAAGTGGTCCACGCTATATAAGCTTTGCATCTCAGTGTTATTTTAGATGTGAACTAGGAAGTGCCGCGACCAAGCGTTCATATAAAAATGGTAAAGTTAATGTTGTATAAATAAGTGAATTTCAGACATAAAGCCTTTAAGATACTAAAACAAAAAGAAAAATCATCAAGAATACATATGCGATGAAATATTTAACTACAAAAATGGATTATGGACCCTTCCGCTTCCACGTTTGAACTTTGAGCGGCGAGTAGAAGAAAAAATAAATATACAAATATTCACATTACAAATCGCAACAAATATTGCGATAGACTAATCAGTAACTCAAACCCTCTTGTGCCCAACTTCATGAAGGAAGCTGGATAAGTAGGACAAGTTACTTCAATTTACAGCGCATCACTATTTCTAGGTAACTCTTTAATGACCATTGCTGGATTCATTTCTTCCAAGTCTTCACACACAACACTAAATTTCTACTAGAGAAATTGTAGTAAGTTATTGCAGCTAAAAATGTATACGTTTTTACCTTCATAGAATAACTTCATTTACTGTCGATAAAATATATAAAACAAACTTAATTTTTTGTTATATAAGACAGTCGTATATATCTTTGATAATAGGATCATTTTTAACACATTAATAACATCCAGTCATTTACCATAATATGGATCAGTTTACATTACAAAAAAGTTTCGCAACAAGTTGCGCTGCATTGACAAGCACATCCATCAAAAGTTTGTTGGGTACTATGGTCTGCAGCATGGTGGTATTTTAGTTAGTTGAATCTGAAATCAGAATTGGGAGTTGATGGACTTCGACATAAGATGAACATGATTGTAGAATTAGGTGGAAGTGTATCTGATACACAATGCACATTCATCATTTATGTTTTATTCTGAAACAGCCTCCAAATGCAAACAGAAACAAACAAGAAAGGAAAAAGCTAAGCTATTTAACCCAATACTTTGTTTAACCCAATAAGTCGATTATTCAAATGCAGAATTCTTTACAAGGAAAGACGTTAAGCTGAGGTTGCCTACCTTAGTCCACCAGAGAGGCATCTAGTTTTGATCTAACTTGAGTTTAATGTCGTAGAAAACAGTTCCTATGGTTTTCCTCGGCTTTCATCTCATTCATACCAACTATCACCATGCCAAATTTCTACCTGTTGCTCATTCTTCTAAGGCTTCATTAAAATTCCGAACATCGAGGGACTGGACTATATACTAAGTAACAGCTGAACAAGTCCAAAGTCTACATGTTCGCGAGAACAATTTTCAGCAAGAAGTTTCCTTGTGGAGGTTAATTCGCATGCATAATCCTAAGTTCATTTAGGACGAACTCGTGAGCCTCATAACTCTTTCCGGCTTGCACCCCATGACATAGCTTTCCTGTAATACATTTTGTGTATCTGAGCACAGAGGAAGCAGGATTCGCTCGTCACGTCTGTGTTCTGTGTGGATGCTGGGCAACGACCATCAGATTAATAACTCTCCATACCCTATTATAGTATCTACCTACGCCGACACATTCGTAAAATATAGAAACAGTGGTTAAATTATTTCCAGAAATAAGGATTTATTCAGCTAGGAAATAGTGTATTTTTAATTATCGGAATATATTGTTTTTGTATATTTTTTAAGAATGACGTGGTTTGCTTTCGTTTGACTTCCCACGTCTATTGTTATCGCGAAAGTTCCGAGAAAGTAAAAATTCTTTCTTTTGGATGTTACGTGACACTTACAGGTACGTCACAAAAAACATATCACCGACACGACTATTGTGTATAATGAAAGGTGACACTATGTCGATTTTTTTTTATATAATGTTGTTTTTTTTTGTGACATTATGTAGGTTTTCTACAAAATGTTAATTTAGCACTAGCTGATGGACACGCTGTGAACTCGTTTTGTAGTTGTTGTGTTGCCTCAATGTCATGAGGCTTCAGTTATTAATGTTTGGCTCTGATGTGATGTAAAATTTGCTTCAGAGATGGCATTACTGGAGGTAACGGCAATGCATAGGTGCAGAGTGAGGATTTGTGTGCTAATAATTAGTAATGTGTCGTTCGCGAACGAGTCGTTCAAAATGAACGACTCATATAAGTGTACGGTGATTGAACGACTCTTTTGTTAAATATGGCTCGTTCAATTGCGCAAAGCGTGTCTGCAGTATGCAGCAACTGATCTGCGAACTGACAACGTGGTAACAGTACAGACACTATCTAAGGAGCTCAATTGTTTTGTTTTGAGATCTCTCATTAAATTATACGTTGAAATGATGAGAGCAAAAATTGCATTTTGATTCAGAATTTGGTTGTTCCTCAAAACCGGACCACATATCCCTTCTTTTTTCGGAATTCAGTATACAATCGTTATATTCAATTTCAACCAAAAATATTAATATTTAAATAAATACAATAACATCGGTAACCTCAACCCTTCATTTAATTTCCATTCTCTGACTGAGTGAGTTGTTACTATAGGCAACACAATACTCTCGTCAGCTTCGAGGCCGGTCGGTAGTCGTATCGTTCAAATGAACGACTCCGAACGTACGACTCACTGAAGAGAGATGAACGAAATGAGCGAGCTCAGAGAAAAGGGTCGTATGTCTCAAGCCTACTAATAATATGTGTTGATCCTAGTTCCATTGGATTCTTGTCTCAAATACACTTTTTGGGATTCAAGGCTGCAAATTAGTTGCTCATCCACTTTTTCTTATCCATTCAAAAAATGAGAGAATGAAAAATAATTATACTCACTGTACACTGTCGAAATACAAGTCATATACATGCTAACAGTAGTTCCCGTAAATCTCCTCAAAGTTTTTGAAAACATAACAAAACGTAAAAAATCGTAATTTATAACTTTGAACATAACCTGTGTTCAGAAACGACAACATATAAATAATCCGTCGGGCACAGCTAACAGATATGCTTCATTGGCAGCATATTCAGTAATGATTTTCTCACACAGCAAATAGCATTGACCTCATACAGATGCAGACCAATACACACAATCATCCAGATGCGATCTTGCTATTCAACCAACTTTCTTCCCAGAGATGAAAACTATAGACCACTTGGCTTCACAAAAGATATACAACCAACAATGCGTGTAGCTGAGCTACTCCTCCATAGATGGACTCTCATATCGATCGTAGTGAGCAAACGTGGAAAGACTGTTTGCACCCTGAAAACTGCCTAGTCTGCAAGATGACATTTTATCGGTTTTTTTGTGTCGTCTTATAGGTGTTTTACATAATACCCGTGTCGCACGCCATATTGGATTTTTACACAGATGAATAGAGTTTTTAATTCTGATTTCAAAAATATATGATATGTCATTCATTGAGATTGCTAAACTTAGTGTTATTATTAGAGTTCCCAGATAGGCCTTGAAACTTTCAGGTTTCATTTGTTTCTCATACCAGACCGGACCTCCAATTGAACATAGTAACAGAGCAGGTATTGGAAGGCTGAGATGAAGGAAAATAAATCACGCAGTTAACAATGTACAGAGAAGAGTCAGGCCTTGCATATGAAATAGAGGTTTATTCTAAATGGATTGAAATAGTTTTACAATAAAATGAATAATGAAATATAACCTCCATTTTGCTTACTGCTCTCCAAAGTTGAGGGATGGAAGAGATTTTTCACAACAAAATGAAATTAAGATTTTTTGCGTTGATTTCTAATAAGCTCTGTTAAAAAGTGACATAACCATTGCTACCTAACCATTTAGCTCATTTCAGAAAAAAAAATCACAGTCCTAAACCTAATGGTTTAGTTGTAATTGCAATTGAAAGTTCATTATCCCGTTTTTTCGAAATTTCACAAAATTGCAAGTATCTCCTCAACTATGAAATTTCGGACCACACACATAGGGGTTCATTCGATAAATTTTGAGGCCATCAATCACCTGACTACCGTAGATCCACTACTAACTTTATACCCTGTATAATGAGTTTTTAAATTGCTAGACCTATACGCTTTACTATGCAAGCAAGCCTGACTCAATATATGCTTTTTGGAGATAAAAATATTGATATTCTGACAAAATAAAGATTTTGAAAGATACCTTTTAAATGCAAATAGTGAACCTAGAAGAAGTAGATAGTAGTAACTTCCCGCATTTTTGTCAACTAAGATCTCATATGTACTGCAACTTAATCTCCAGTTACACCTTCTGCTACGTTTCAACGAAGTACCAACATTCTGCAAAAATACCTATCCACTTTTTACAACATTCCAGGTTATATTTTCTTTTGTGCGAGTTCAATTTTCGTGTGCTATGAAAATAGAATAGAAGACACTATTATTGTGAAATGATTCTTCAAAAATTTGATAGTGGCGCCCATACAGATAATACAGATTTTGATTCTGTTTCTAAAGGAGCTTATAAAAAGCCTTCTTCAGAGTTACGTACAAACGTGACACCCTGCGCCCATTAAGGGCAATCTAATGAAATTTCCCGCTCCAGGGGGTATTTCCTGACGATCTCTTTCACTCCAGGGACAAATTTTAATGCTAAATGCGGATGGGATATTGTACGTAGTGCTCCCTTGAATTTATTTCTGCCACATTTTCTAAAAACTTTTGCGAGTCATGATATTTCAATTCATGGGTAGAAACGCGACATCAAAATTGTGTGAAATAAATTCTGCAAACGGTTCTGCAAAGTCCGATGTTGTTAATACTTCGTTCACCTGGGCCGTACCGGGTGGATGGAGGATTGCTATATCTTTAACTGGATGAGCTCATATTTTATTAGATATTCAGGTAGAATGTTGGAAAAGAAAAATGTTAATCTATGATATTTTGTAAAGTTGAATAATACTGTAAATATGACCTAAGATATAATATTTAATAACAGATTATATATATATATATATATATATATATATATATATATATATATATACCTTTTGCTGATGGAACCGGATTGTACATTAGTCCTTAAATCTTAGAAAAATATCCTCTTCAGACGAATCTGACCGCGGCTGCTGCTCCCGGCATCATGCCGCCGCTTTGGTAAGTGTTCTGTTGTTCTGGTATGGTATCACAGTATTTCTGCTGCGCCACAGCATAGTGTTTCATATGCTCTGAAAACGCTGCCACATTTGGCCGAGTTGAGTATCGTTTCCAGATGCACTACCGGTAGGACAGGAAGATGTCTGATTTTTTTCTCAGAGGGTCCAGTTTATGCTGAACATAGTATTTCATGAAGTGTCGAGTGGGGAGTGCAGAGTCAACCTACTTGACGCCATTTTCCTCCTAATTCGACTGAATTATTTACACAATGACAATAAGGAAACCTATTTACAACCATAGATGTCTGTTAACGACGCTGTAAATCTCAAAACTCTAACGCCGCCTTGTATTTCAAAACTTGATCGCCATACACATATGTTCAAGGGGTTTTTATATCACGATGTCATAAAATCTTATTTAATAGAACCACTTAGAAGTTCGCTGCACTTTTATTTGCTCTTCGCCACAGTGCTCCATTTTTCGCGCCGAACTTCAACTTACAGATAAAGTAGACTTAATTCACGAGGACTTTCAACTTTCGTAGAGTTTTGCCTCCATCATCTCCTGCGAGCTGTTAAAATTACGTACATGTTATGCAAATCGGTTCGTTAGTTCGTAAAAAGTTGCGAACCGAAAAAGCTGCGTTGTGGTTATCAGATGGAGTTTCACTTGCAGACAAATTGAAGTCAAATGAATTCACATCTTATGTATTTGAAAAATCGCATTTCTTCATTTGTACCAAAATATAATTACCGGCTGATCTCCGAAGATCAACCAATATCTGTCATTTCAAAAACAACTGAGAAAATCTCTTGTTGACAAGTGCCCTTATCCCCTAAACCCTAAACGAATATTTTACAATGTAACGTCACCATAGCGTAATTCCTGTACTTTGCTGCTTAAATGCTACTTTAATTGATCCTCTTCCGTTAGGTGTCTTATTGTTATGTGGGTGTAGCTTCTATTTATTGAATTTTTTCACATTACCTTAGATGCTTATTTTATGTGTATATCTTATGGTCTCGTAAATTTCAACGTTTGTTACTTAAGCACATGTGTATGTCTTTGTTTTTGATTACATGTATTCATCTATGTATTTGACATATCCCTTATCATATGTAGACATGATATGTGAACAAATAATATATCTATCTACGAGCCCCTTCCCACTTCAGTTGGCCCACTTCAAGATTTGTACCAAAATATGCCTTTATAAACTAAACATGACGAAACTATTTACTTCTAAAACAATTTATTTTCTCATAAACATTTTAGATACACTCTAGTCGTAAAACATACATATTTGAAATCACTTAGACCTATAATTTAATAGAACATCTGAACAAATAAACAATGTGCGAATAAATGCGCGAAATTAACAAAGCAACAATTGAAATATTACCATTGGGTAACATCACCTTTATTTTTTATCACGGCTGAAATTTTTTGTGGCATAGTGTTAACCAAATTTTGGCAAAAATTTGGTATAAAACAATCCCATATTTCTTGAAGCTTTTGTCTCAGTTCGGTGATTGTTTTTTTTTTTTTTATATCGAAACAGCCGCGCAGGCAGAAGCCTAAATGCCGGAACACCGCGGCTGCTATGATGATCCCAAAGAAATTTTGTTAATACGATTTTTGAACTGCCTAAGGTTAGTAGAACTGGGAAAAGCTTCCTCCCGTAGATTGTTCCACACAATCTAGACACCCTCGGGACAAAGGAGCGGTCGTATCGGCCAGTTCTGGATGTACGAAGTTTGACACGGTTAGGATGGGATGCCGAAGTCAGGCGAGTCTGTCTGGCAGGCGCATCGCGCGGTGGCATCATGGAATAGAGCTCTGAGGAGCAAAGCCCGTTGGTGTAGCGGTAGAAAAGAGCTAGATCGCCGACGGCGCGCCGGTGCGAAAGAGTCCCGAGACTGTCTGTTAGAGAAGAGTCATCGATCAGTCGGACCGCCCTCCTCTGGACAGCATCGAGCATGGACAATGTAGTCGGGGCGGCAGCACCCCAAATGTGTGAGCAATACTCGAGGCTAGGTCTTATCTGGGCCTTGTATAGAGTGAGAAGGTCATGCGGAGAAAAGTACTTCTTAGCCCTAAACAAATAGCCTAGCTTTTTCCCAATAGCTGCAGCTATTGAAGAGATGTGTTCGTGCCAGATCAGGTCCTCGGTGATCTGGACTCCGACCAGCCGAAATGAATGGCTCTTTGGTAGAACTCGACCGTCCATCGAAACTGTATGAGCGCTAGGACGCTTTTTGTTCGTCAAGGTACAGTACTGTGTTTTGGAAACATTGAACTGTACAAGATTGTTGCGTCCCCAAGCAGTGATAGCCTCCAGGTCTCTTGTCAGAGAAGAAGTCGTCGCTAGTCTTCTTTTTTCCAGCTCAGCGGCAGAGATCGGCTTGTCACTCTGAATTCCTGCATGTAGAGTGCTGTCATCAGCGAAGCTGTGGATTGGGTTGATCGTGCAGGAAAGGAGGTCGTTGATATGTAAGAGAAACAGTGTTGGAGCCAAGACCGATCCCTGGGGAACACCCGCGTCGACGTTGTGGGATGAAGAGGAGAATCCGTCAATTACGACGGATATCTTGCGGCCAGAGATAAAGTCAGCCACCCATCTGCAAAGCTTTTCTGGGAGGCCGTAGGATGGAAGTTTGCTTAAGAGGGCAGCGTGCCACAGCTGACCGAACGCTTTCGTGATGTCAAGAGCAACGACATGTGCCTCACCATGAGACTGGATAAGTTTACTCCACAGTTGCGTGACGTAAGCTAGGAAGTCCCCTGTGGATCGTTGGTGCTGGAAACCGTACTGCCTGTCGCTAATCAAGCTGTGACGTTCGAGGTAGTCCAGAAGCTCGCGATTTATGCATCTCTCCATCACTTTACTTATAACAGAAAGCAGAGCTATAGGCCTGTAGTTGTAAGGGTCGGTTTTAGATCCTTTTTTGGGATGGGCTGTACATGAGCAAATTTCCAGTTTTCTGGGAAGGTGCCGGATTCATAAGATATCTGGAAGAGACGCGAAAGAACTGGAGCAAGCTCCGCTGCACATCTCTTCAGTACAATGGCAGGAATCAAGTCCGGACCAGAAGCTTTGTTGATGTCGAGCGACAAGAGCACTCGTCTTACGGTCTTATGCCTGAATGTTACTTCCCGCATAGTGTGGGGAACCCTTTGAATTGACGGCACTTGGGCGTTGGTGGGGACGTCCATGGTGGAGTTGGCAGCAAAGATCTTGGCTAGCACTTCCGCCTTGGCCTTTGAATCGAATACAATAGTTCCATCCTGACACGTAAGTGGTGGAAGGCTACTGTGTGAGAAGTTCTTTTCAATCTGCTTGGCCAGCGTCCAGAAAGACCGACTGCCATTGCGCTGCGACATTACCCTGTGCCTAACTTTTATATCATGCTGGTTTTTGGCATTGCGAACCGCTTCGTTATATTTGTTTCTGGACTCGACGTCGGCTTGTCTGTTCTCTACAGTGGGGTTTTGTAAGTAGGTTCTGTGGCCCTTGATCTTCTGCTGGCGAGCAGTGTC